CTTTCCTCAGCTCTCGTTGAGGGGCTGGGGAGCACACAGGAGACATGGCACTGTTCCCAGGGCTCCGTCCTCCTGCGGGCATGTCCCATCTCTCTACCACAGCTCGCTCGCCACGCCAGAGAGGCACCTCCATGGGAGCCCCTGTGCCCTGAACAGAGCTGACTTGCCTGTCCAGGCTGTGGCCTGCTCCTTCCTCCTCTCCCACCTCCAGCTGCCTCCTTCTGCCCGCTCTTCTGCTGCCTGCTGAGCCTGGTGTGTGCCCCGCGCCACTGCAGCCCCTTTCTCCTCCGCCCGCCTCATCATCCCCCCATTCTTCTTGTACTGCTGCTGAAGCTGCAACCCAAGCTTGAAAGCCCCAGCCAGGCTGGGGCCTGTTGTGGGACGGAAAATACTTACTCTCATCTGAGAGTCCGCCTTCGGGAGAGCAGAGGGAGGCTGAGGCACAGAAGGTGCCCAGAACGCAGTGTCTGGAAGAAGGAAGGAAAAAGAGCATTAAAAAGAGTTTTACCAGGTAGTTTGTATCCATGGATACATGTTTTACAGGACCAGGGAAACAATCTTCAGCACTGCAGTTTAGTTTGACTTTGAGCTAAAAACTGCATTCCCGCCCCTGGTTTTTCAGGCTAGCCTGCCCAGGTCATTGCCTGAGGCATTAGAAGAAATGTTCCACTAACAAGACCAGAAAAAAAGGCTTTCTTAGATCACTAAAAAGTCCTAAAGAGATACCTGCTTTAGTCCATCTCTCCTTGCTTCAGTTTAACTATTTATAAATCTGTGTCATTTAACTCTGTATCATTCTCCATAGTGAAATCCAGATACAGGATTTCAATTTCCTATAATTTTACCGTGTTTTCTTAGGATCCATTCTAAAGATAGACACACAGTCCAATTTTATAAGCCGCAAAACCAGATCCCGTGGTTTTCTTTTCTTACTGTGTGAAAAGGCCAGATGACGGGACACTAACGTAGGTCCTGCCCAGCTACCTGCAGAGGAAACTCAAAGCATTCTACCTTTTCACTCTGTGGCTCACACTCCCCAGGATGTCTTTTTGTTTGCTGTTTTCAGTGGAGCAACGCCTTGTAACTGCACTTAACCAGCAATTTCTTTTCTGACCATCAACAAGGGTCTTTGTATCAGGTCAACAAAACTGCAGCACGGCAAGAAATACAAATATCAGCGGACTGCAGAATTATTTACTTGGGAAATAAAAATGGAGGGAAAACATGACACGGGTAATTCGTGGCTGAGCAGCACCAAGCATGGTTCTTTTCACCTTCATATGAAAATGGTGAAAATTCACATGAATCTCTTTTACAGGCTGCTTTGGCAAAGGACCTGAGAATCAGAAAGGACTTTTTCAAACTATGATACTTACCTAGACGATATAATGGCTGCAAAAAGTAGCTAGGTTCACCAGTTGGCTGTTCGCTGTTGTCATCCTCATCCAAACTGATCACTAGTTTACTGTCTTTTCTACATCCAAGTTTGGGATGATCACACCCCACCCCCACCCCCAATTCTGGTTACCATTTCCCTCAACTGATAGCATTTTTCCTTCCTCTCATAGAAAATCTCATTGCCTCTGGTTGGCATGTTGCCCTGCAGCCAGTTTTTGAACCAGGATAAGGGAATTTTCTTCAATATGTTGTGCAATTTGTCATAGAGCAGAGAAGGATTCACACCAGTTCTAGAGTTTCTGTTTCCCTCCTTTACTCTCTTATACCTGTAGCTGAAGTTTTAATCTTTTGCCAGAAGGGGTTACCAGACCAGGTTAAGACTTAGCTTGGGATAACTCTTGGATATATCTGCTTAAAGATCTGTTTGTTTCTTTGGTAACCAATCTCCTCCCTCTGGCTTTCACAAACCCTAATATTAGCCCTTGCCCAGCTGGCAAATCCATTCATAAGATGCTTGAATGAGGCGTGCTTGTCTAATTCTAACCAACAGATTAAAATATTCTGTCAGGCCAAGAAGTTGTCATACCTGAAAATGTTTCACAATAGAACACAGGATCAGCAGCATTATTTATAAAGACCCCAGATAACCTTTCTTTTTTAAATCATTGTGTTAGTAATTTAAATGGACAGGTCTGATGGTTCATTTTGCCTTGTGGGTGCTGTCTGTTGGTATGCAGAGAACACAAAAATTGCTGTGAGAAAATCAATATTTTGGCTTGAATTTAACAAAACATGCAAATTAAAAAGGATACAGAGAAGGAAGGCGAGTGGGAGGATAAGGAAGGACAATGGAAAGATGATTGGGAAGATCAAAGCTTTTAGTCTTCCTTTGTTTTGTCTTAGCTGATTAATCTTTCATATGAGTATCTACTAAGACAGCTCTTAAAGGAAATGAGAAAACTACAAAAGTACTATAAATGTTGCTGTTCCATCTCTTGTTCATAGTTTTCAATTTTATCTTTAAGCAGAAAGGAACTGGAAAGAAATATCCAAGTGATACCTTTCATGAGCTTGGATCTTAGAACATTTTGATTTTAGACATGATTTTACTGTCAAGGATTATGGGAACATTAAAGCATGCTTGCAGCTACAGACCCAATGTATTTAGGCAACTTAATTTATTATTGAAGAACCTTCTTCTTAAGGTTGATGCATTCATTCCACAGACAAATATTATTTAACAAAGAAAATGTTCATTTTTGATTAACTGAATTTGACATGAATTATTGTCACTGTTTGCCAGCAAGGTGCTGATATAACCGTTGATCAAGCTAAATCTGGCTGATTGTAATCAATGGAAAAGACAAAAAAATTCTGACTCAAGCTGAGGCATCAGCCTAACATAGGACAAAATGTTTTCTTTGAAACCATTGCCCTCTGGAGGGGGAATGAAAAATCACAGAATGATTAGCTAAAAATTCCCTTTTATGTCACTGTGCAACTGAATTTATGCTTTACGGTCCATGAGTTCTACAGACTGATGCAAAATGGAATGCTCTGTCAGAAGAGCCACAGTGACCACAGTGCTTATGTCAGTGAAGGCTGGAGGAGAACTAATCCCCATCTGTCTGCCCCGTTACTCTCCTCCCCTTTATCTCTAAACTCTTTATCTCTAAACTCACTGAACATCCATTCTACAACAGATTTACTTTCTCTTCCAGCTTTGTCTTGGATCCCTTCCAAGCTGGTGTCATCCCTCTTTATTTGCCAAAATATTTTTTTGTGCAATCCCTAAAGAATTCTTGCCTGCCTGATGTCAGAGTCTGTATTCCATCCTCTTTCTTGACCTTTCTGCTGTTGTTGTTGTTGTTGTTTTTTGGGTGGGGGGGCTTTTTTATTATCCTGATTACCCTTTCCTTCTTGATCTTTTATTCTTGCAAGGTTTTGAGAAATTGTGTTCTCCTCTTCTTTTTATCTCCCTACTTTCATGTCTGGCATCTATTTAAATAGACTCTTTTTGTCCTGTCTCTGAGAACTTCACAGGGATTTTTCCCTTGGCCTTTAGATATTGATAGCTCATATCTTGGATAATCACATTTAAATGTCACCTTTAACTGAATATGAATGAAAACAAGCTCCTTCCTGCTCAGACTTTGCCTATATATTCTCCCTGTGTTGCAGGGGAAATGACAATATCTCACAGTGGTCTTTTCCGTTTGATTTATAGCTATACGATGTCTCCTGACTACAAATCTGGTGATTGTTTTAACCCTAAGTAGGACACATGCACCAGCCATCTGAAAGAATGTAGCAGCAGCACTAGTCCACCTGTAGGGCTAGCTGTGTTCAATATCTACTCTTTCAAAGAAAAGTGCAAAATACAGTAGTCCAGAAGCTAAATTGTGCATTAAGAAAAAAACCCCAAACAAACAACCACCTCTTGGCCTCCACAACCCAGCAACAGAGAGCCTAAATTTTGAAATTAATGCAGCAATCCAATTTAATTTCAGCCTTCCTTGAACTAGGACAACAGATACCAAGGATTCAAATATGGTCATGTTTTTCTCTTTGATAGCATCTAGAACTATTCCTTTCTTCCTATCCAGTAACTACATTTTGCATTCGTGTTCATCACGGTGGCTGAAACATCTTCCTCTCTGGCTTCTAGCGTCCTCTGCCACTCCTTAATCCTTCAGATCCGAATTGCACAACTCCCAAGTAAGGTCACAGTATTTACAAATAGGGTCATAAACCCAACAGAAGTTCAGCTGTAGAAAAAGGTTAATCTCCAGAAGAGAGGTCTCAAGTCTGGGACTACTACTTATCTCTCAGTGAGGGGTCTTAAGCCCAGAAGTAGGAATCATTCCCAGGAGGTGGATGCCCCAAAGTAAAGCTGGAAGCGAGGTTGTTAATGGAACAGTTTGGGGCACTATTTTTAGTCCAGAAAAATAATGGTTAATAAAAATTACCTTTCTTGCCACTGTTTTCCCTTCCCCTATTTAGTTATACTCAAATTACTGATTACCTTATCTGGCTCTCTGTATCTGTTTGCTGTTTCTTGTTCTTCCTTGAGTAGTTTCTCCTTATTTTTGTGTGTTACTCTATGATCGTATACCTGTCTGTCTTTTTGATGTTGTTTCAGTCATTTGTGTTCCTTCCTCTGCACAACTCTCCATCTTTGGTTCAATCTTGAATAAATCTTTAAGGACCTAAAGTGCATATTTAAGTCTTTTTGGAAAACAAAATCCTGCTTTGCTATTTATAACAATTATTAAGTTGTATCAAAATCCACTCTGTTTTTCCCTGACTTGCCATTCACAGGCTGGATGTATCGTAAAGCCCAAAGTCAAGACAGGATTTTATTTGGATTTTAGTACTAACTTGCCTTAGTGTCAACTTGCACACACTTTTTATTGGGTTTTACTTTGTTTTAACCTGTGAATAGAGGGCAAAAGCCACTTTTCATTTCTACTCTTTTTACTCTGTGGAGCTTCTTTTCTTATAAATGTATTTGTAAAGAAATAAAAACCTATGAGATAACTCACAGATCTGTGAGAAAATAGAACCAACAAAAAGACCGAACAAAAGTTTCAACAGTTGATACCACCTAAGGAAAATACTTAGGTGGTAAATCCTAATGAAAGAAGACATTTGTGGTTTTTAGATTCTTCCCAGGTATGATCATCTGTCCTGAAAGGCAGGTTAGTAGTGGTAATTATGTTAATGATGAGACCCTCCTATCTGATAATGCTGCAATGTAAAGCTTAAGCTTTATATATTTATCAGTCAAAAGTACGACACTACAGTACATTGTTCACATATTCGGTAAACCAGAAATGCAGTAAATCTTTCTCTTGAAAGCAAACTAGATGTACAGTAAGACAGCTATAAGATACTGTAAGACATACATAAACAACATAATTCTCCTTCTTGTTCCCTTTTTCTATTATTTCACTGAAATAATCTTGTACACTATGCTTTATTTACCAGTCCTGTTTGGTGTAGGTTTTCAGCTTGTGCATCCCTGTTATGCTTTAATTACCGCCACAAAAAGATTTGTGGCCAGTACTGTACCTTTATGCACATGGATGTCTGAATATGACATGAGGCAGAATCATTTTCAAAATTATTCTTCTCAAAACTTTCATTTGAATATTTCCCTAGTTTTTGAGCTTACTTTCAGCAGATGATAAACAACATCTGGGGCAGTTAACTCCCAGCCAGCATGTCTGTTATTCCCCAGCATTTAAAGCAATGCTTAAAACCTATTTTATTTGAATCATAACTGCATAAGTTTTATTGGAAATATTCTGAAACTAAAAGTAAAAGAGACCAACATTTTTTTCTTTGAGAAACATGCTCAGAAAAATCCTTTATACGTCATTTCATCATATGCATAAATCTGGACCGGCATGGCACAGAGGAAATTCAGGTGTGGCATCCAGCCCCTTTGTAGAAGCTCATGCTGAACCCAGCATAATGTCTTCCTTACAGACATAAGATGCCAATAGATTTCCCTTTCCATCTCTTGAGCAACGCAGTCATATTTCAGATAGTTGCTTGATTTGTGAAAATGAATTATAAAGGGTAGCACCAAAATACACTTGTCATATGCTGCCATAACCAAAGCAGGTATACTTAATTACCTTTTCCAAGAAAGCAATAGCAGCTACACAATCATCTTTATGGGAGAAAAAAATTGTTGATTGTCCTGGTTTCAGCAGGGATAGAGTTAATTTCCTTCCTAGCAGCTGGTACAGTGCTGTGTTTTGGATTTAGGAGGAGAACAAAGTTGATAACACACCGATGTTTTAGTTGTTGCTAGGTAATGCTTACACTAGCCAAGGACTTTTCAGTTTCCCATGCTCTACCGACTGAGAAGGCTGGAGGTGCACGAGAAGCTGGGAGGGGGCACAGCCAAACTGGCCAAAGGGACATTCCATACCATGTGACGTCATGCTCAGTACATAAACTGGGGAAAGCTGGCCGGGGGGGCCGCTGCTCGGGGACTGGCTGGGCACTGGTCGGCGGGTGGTGAGCAATTGCACTGTGCATCACTTGCTTTGTGTATTATTA